TTCTTTGGGTCTATCATCATTATACAGTTCACTTATATAATTACACCAGGTTGTTCGAATTTCATGTTCGTCTATTATCATTTTTCCCGACGAATCGGTTACAGTGTGTGGAGTTTTCTTATGATAAAGACCAGCTACTTCTTTAACTTTTTTAAACATACTAAACGTATCATGTTTTTCATTCAACTCCTCTACTTCCTTGCATTTATCCTCCATCCATTTTTCTTCAGCCACCTTTATTTTTTGTTTAATTAATTTCTGTTTTTCCTTATATTCTGTCTTGTTACCTTTCAGTTTCCTTCTCTGCTCCATTAATTCCAGGATTTCATCAGTCATTCATTGTTGTTTTTTGTGCCTGTGTAACGCTGTTGAATATTTTTCTATTACTTTCAAGGTAAGATCTTTAAATGTGTTCCATATTTCTGTGTTGTTTTCATTTATTGGTTTCTTTAGCTCATTATTTAAGTCATTTTCTATTAACGTTTTGTTGGATATTGAGATATTTAATTTTGGTGTTTTGGGGCTTTCTTGGACTTTTTTGAGCTTCACTTTGATGTCAGTTATTACAGGGTATTACATCATCTATTTGATTAGAGGTTTCAGCGTTCGGGCGGGGGGACCAGGTTCTTAAATGAATGTCTTTATATTCGAAATATGTGCTAATTACTGTCATGCTGTAAGGTAGCAGGTAGCACTCCTCTATGACACCGGTAGAGGATAGGCTGCTACAGGGCTTGATGACCATGCCATATGCTAGCCGCTAACCTCCCTGCTTCTTATTTTGAGGAAGTCATGCCCTTACACCCTATCCGGTCTCTTCCCAAACTATCCCCAACTACATTCTTAACCTAAGCCGGTCAAGACGTCTTGGCAAGCGCGGCAAGTTTTAAAATCACGCCAAACACCCCCTAAAATAAAATGAACATGTCATTGTCTCAAAATGCCCAAAGGTGAGTAGGAAAAGAATCCAGAATCTCGCACTAAACTGCTAGTCTCTCACATGGATTCTGGGAGGGATAAGATTCTGACAAGTACACACACCAAACTTAGAAAACGTTTAAATCTCAACGTCACTACATATAGACTACATCTTACCCTGTTAAACTACGTCCACAAGTTATTCACAAAAGTAATAACAAATAGACTGGAAACAAAATTAGATTTTTATGCTTCCAGTCATGACTGACTGGAAACATTGAAACATTTTCTTTAACCCAGGCCACAGCAACCAAACTCAGAGTAGCCCAAAGAAGAATGGAACGCTCGCTAATTGGACTAACTCTCAGAAACAGGGTTAGAAACGAAGAAATAAGAATAACCACTGGCGTCACAGATGTCATAAAATGCATAGCATAGCTGAAGTGGAACTAGGCGGGCCATGTGACCAGAATTAATGACGGGCGTAGACCCAAACAATTATAGTGTGGAAACCACGAGCAAATAGAAGAAGCAGAAGAAGACCACTTACACGATAGACAGATGACGTCAAAAACATCGCTGGAAATTGGCTGCAGAAAACTCAAGACTGACAGAACTGAAAGAAATTAGGGGATGCCTATATTCAACTTTGGAAACAGAAGACTGAGTGATGATAATGATGAAGACTGTCACGTTTAAACACGCTGCAAGGTTTAAGGGTTTTTATTCCATTATCATTACTCTCTTTATGTAGGGTACACGATCCTATGGTGAAAAGGTAAATAAGCTCTCTTACGATTTTCGCATTCAAATCACCGATGGTGATTTTCATGTCATTTTTGTAAGCCTAATGAAGCTCTCTTTTGTAAGCCTCGTAATAATAAAAATTCTTACTTTTCTTGTTCTGTTATCTTATTAGTTCTTATTCTTATTTTGAATGAACTACGCCTCTGAATCTATGAAGTTAAAGGTCTAGTCTATTGTAAACACTGTTCCTGATGGTGGTTGATGTCTATACTGAATTCTATTACAGCTTGTTTTGGTCTTGCTCTCTAAAAACTTATTAACTTTTATGCCATCATCATCATTTTGGCTTTACAACCCTGTGTGGGTCCTAGCCTCCCCAAGGATTCTCTTCCAGTCATCCCTATCCATCGCCTCGCACGTATATCCATATTTCTCATATCTTGGTCTATGTTATCTAGGAATCTTGTTCTGAGTCTTTCTCTTCTTCTTTGACCAATAGGTCTATCAAGGAGCGTTTTTCTAGCTGGGTCGGTTTGCTCCATCCGCATTACATGGCCTACCCACAACAGACGTCCTATCTTAATGTGTTTTACGATATCTGGTTCCTGGCATTTTCTATAGAGTTCGAAATTGTATCGTCTTCTCCAGATACCATTTTCATTTACCGCTCCATAGATTCGTCTCAGTATTTTTCTTTCGAAACATCCTATTTCGAACATGTTTTCATTGTTTTTTGTTAAAGTCCAGGTTTCTGAACTATATGTTAGAACTGGGCGTATTATTGTTTTGTAGAGTTTTACTTTTGTATTTCTTGATATAACTGTAGATTTAAAAGAGATTAAGCCCAAAATAGCATCTATTAGCCGTGCAAATTCTGCGGTTTATCTCTGCGGTAGTGTCATTTTCAGTATTTCCGAGCGTTCCCAGGTATACAAATTCGTTAACTGCTTCGATGCGTCGTTTTCTATAACAAGTGGCCGTCGTATTTGTGGTTGCGAACCTATTTTCATGTATTTCGTTTTAATAATGTTTATTATTAAACCAATTTTTTTACCGGCTTCCTTTAGTGCTACATACGCCTCTCGTGCTGCGTTTTCCGTTCTCCCAACAATATTGATATCATCAGCATATGGTAGGATTTGCACAGATTTGTTATATATTAAACCGGTAGTTGTGATTTGTGACGTACGTATTACTTTTTCCAGAGCTAGATTGAATAGTACACAGGAGAGTGGGTCTCCCTGTCGTAGCCCGTTATTTGTATTAAAAGGTTCAGAGAGTTCCCCCTGGATTCGTACTCTACATTAAACTTTTTCAAGGGTTAGTTTGGTTAGACTTACCAACTGATTTGGTACTCCTAGGTCTATCATTGCTCTAAATAATTCTCTTCTATTTACAGAGTCGTAGGCTGCCTTGTAGTCTATAAATATGTGGTGCGTGTCTACACCGTATTCCAGTGTTTTCTCTATTATAGAATTTATATCAGTGTATATTGTAGAATATTGTGCTATACTATAGTGCATAATATATTGGAGAATATTTTATACGCTGCATTTAGGAACTTAATTCCTCGATAGTTAGCGCATTCAAAGATTTTTGTGTATGGTGCAAAGTATTCCAATATTCCAATCACTGGGAAGGGACTTCTGTATCCATATTTCTTTTATAAGCTGCTGTAGCGCTATTATGATATCGTGGCTACCTTCTTTATATAATTCCGCTGGGAGATTATCTATTCCGGGTGATTTGTTTCTGGTTAGTTTGTTTACAGCGTCTTTAACTTCCAGGATCGTTGGTGGATTCTCCTCCCTCTCGTCTGCTCCGCTTACCTCACAGCTTTCGTCTTCCGGGTTTTCTTCTTCTTCCTCTATATTAAGTATCTGGTTAAAATATTCCGTCCATCGATTGAGTACGTCTGTTCTTGTTGTTAATAGATCGCCATTCAAACTTCTACATTGATTTGTGTTTGCCTTGAATTCTTTTCTGTTGATGTTAACTTTCTTATAGAATGTTCTGAATTCTTTCTCTCTGTTGAGGTTTTCTATATATTGAAGTTCCTTTTTTAAGTGGTTTCGTTTCTTCGTTCTGTGTATTTTCTTTTCTTCTCTTCTCTTTGTCTGGTAACTCTCTACACTTGTTCTAGTTCGGCGGGTAAGCATTTTCGCATAAGCTTCATTTTTTTCTGTGTTGCGTCTTTGCATTCATCGTCAAACCAGTAATTTTTTCGGGTACAAGTTTCTGTTCCTATTTCATCTTGTGCTGCTGACTCAATATATTCCTTTATCGTGTTCCAGTAGGAGTCTATATCTCTCTGGTCTTCTTCGCTTGGACTTTGATTTCTTAACCTATTGGTAATATAACTTTTATGCCAGATATTTCATTTTCCAAAGCTTGTTTCATATTTTTTTCCGAATACACATTAAAAGTAGGGGTTATGTCATGATATACATCCCTGCCTTACTCCCTTTGTATTTTAACTTCGTGGGACTTCCTCTACGGATTTTCATGAATTGATCGTTGCAAATCTTATCAAAAGCTTTGTTATAATCTGTAAAGCAAACAATAAGGTTTTGCATACGGTCCAAAAATTGTTGGGTAAGTATGTAGAGCGCAAATAAAACTTCTCTAGTATCAACATAATATATTCCATTAACTATCAATCATACAAGTCCTCAAGACTTTGGCAGATCTGCTGTATATAAGCTTTTTTATTTAGCTCTTTTGCCATGATGTTCGCCAACATCCGAAACGGATAGGCACTACAAGAAGAAGATTTAGCTCTAGTATATGCAGGGCTGTTGTTTCAAGAGGCCATCGAAATTTCTCATAACAGTAAGTTGTGTCAATGCTGCCTTACTACACTGAAGGTTTGTATTGACACTGATTAGAGTCATTGAAGCCTATTTGTGGTAAAGACAAAGTCTGTGACCGGGGTCAGACCAGTTGATCCGCGGGTGCTTATTTGGCTATACCTTATTCACACCTGACTTATATATCCATAGGATGTTCCCTATTAGACATTGGCACACACTGTGTTGAGAACGAGAACTTCTCCGTACAGTCTCAGACTTTGTGTGACATGTTAAAATCAAGAAATTCTAGTTCAAGTTTAATATAAGAACAAATTTGTTAGGATATTGTAAAACTAGTAACCAAATAAATCCTTACAAAAAAACATCTAAACAAAATCGTAACTCATTTTTGTGATAAAATATAGAATATGGTTTAAAAAGATATTTGATCTATAACATCCAGATTGTACAATATTTATTCGAAATTTATGAAATACCTTGAGTTCTTTTCCTATATTATAAAAGAATATTATAAATAAATACCCGCAAGCAACCAAATTCCCAGAAGGAGCATAAGCACACGCCATCACCCATGTTGTTGGCATTGTCACTGCATGCTCCTTGTTAGTTGTGAAAGCATCCCAGATTATCATCTTACCGTCCTAGTAAAAATATTAAGATATGTAAAAAAATAATTTAAAAAATATACTTATTAAAAATAAATATAGCATTTAGTAAACAGTAATATATTTTGAAGATCATTTGTAAATGTTGTCACATAATATATTGTTCGTATTGTAGTGTAATTGTGTCATTGATAGGTATTAGGAAGTGTGATATTTGAAGTTATAATGTATTGTCTTTTACTGAATTACCGACAAGGCCCGTAAATAAATAAATAAATAAAATGCATTTGTAAATGATAAATGTAAAAATGCACATAAGTAAAAATCTGACTGAGTGCCAAAAATCGATAATCTTTTTAGTGCTTAACATTATGCTATTTGCTAAGCCCAATGTTATATAAAGTAGATGGTGGTGGATATAGTACCCTCCTGATGATAGTGAGCAGCAGTGGCAGGAGGTTACTATGTGTGCTGCTGTACCATCTTTGGATAATATCTGCCATATTTGCAGAAAAAACTTCAGGGATGCGGCAGTCACAGGAGGCTGCATCATCTTTGATAATCTCCAGGATCAATAAAATTCCAAGCTCTCTTGGTTGGGTAAGGTTTTAATTTCATGTTCACAGCATTAATTTTTCAAGAAAAGATCAACTGCTATGTGCTGAGTTGGTGTTGATCACAAAACTCTCTTGGAAAAACCGGTATCTTTAGATTTTCATGTTAAATTTGTTAAATGGATTCAGAACTTGTCATAATTAACAGCTAACCGGACCGAAATTCCACCGGATCAGGACTTACATATAAGAAAGTATTCCAACCGCTTAATGTTACTATTTTAGGGACAAAAATTACAATAGGAACACGAAAAAGCTTTTAAAGAAGCGGCATATATTTCTTTAGGATTAGATATTTAGATATGACTAGATTTCAGAAATGAAACTACATACTTTTGACTTCATAAACATAAAACCGTCAGGGAAGACCGCAGCAATCCAAGAAACTTGGGTACTGCGCTCGTGCGCTCACTACGAGATTCAGTCCGCTCACCCGATCCAGGCACCCGTGAATCGATCGTGAAAACAGGAGTGCCTACCTACTAAAACTCCCTCATTTCCAGCCTCAGGCACACAAAAATTTATAATTCTTCTTCGTTGCGTGCCATATCAGAACTATCCGACGTTGGCGATCACCGTTGCGAAGGATTCTCGATCTTCTGCAATATGGAATAATTGTCCTGCATTTGGTATCTGAGTCCATTCACGAATATTTTTTAACCAAGAAAGTTGTTTTCTTCGGCCCTCTATTTTGCCTTTAAGGATCAGTTGTAAAATTTTATATATATTTATAATATCTATAACAATAAGGAATAAAAGCCTTGTAGTCTCCTGTCACTCTCTAATCTCCCAATCTTTCATGTTGTTTTCTTTTTCATTTGGCTGATGATACCAGTATTACCTGGAGGAACTCTGATATTGCAACTCCTCATGCAATTATAACTTCTGATCTACTTAAAATAAAAACCTGGTCCGACTCTAGTTTACTCTCTTTTAACGTAGATAAGACAGTAGCATTATCCTATAAAGGAGTTCTTCAACTCTTGCTTCCTAATAACAGCCAGATCAGTATCATTGATTCTGTAAAATTTCTTGGTAGTTGTATAGATAGCAACCTTAAAGGTCCCTTCATATCGATTTGTTAAGTAAGAAACTAGCCTCAGCCTGTTATGCAATGAGATTTGTTTTGAAGGAAATCAATTTAGCATCTTCCATATTTTTCTTTGTTCGAGTCTCATCTTCGATATAACCTTCCTTTTTGGGGTTCTAGTACAGCTGCCCAATCTGATGTTATATGTAAATTACAAAAAAGATCACCACGGTATATTTTTGGTCTCAGAAGAACTCTTCCCTCTTTATATATTCTAGAAACTGTTGGTTTAATTGGTAAATACCTACATGTTTTTTCAACAAGACCTAATCATGACTACTCAACTAGAAATTCAAGCTTGGATGTGTATTTACCGATCCCGTCCACTGAGTTGGTAAAGAAATCTATATTATATTCGGCAAAAAAATTATACAACCATCTCCTTTTGCAACTTAAATCTACAACTTCTTTCCTGAAGTTCCGAAAATTGACAGAAGCCTATCTATTTGAAAGACCATATTATTCAGTGGAAGAGTTTCTTAATGAATAACTAAGAAATTACAGGGTACAAGCAACTAAAGTAATTTGCGCTTTAGTTAAATTTTACAATGGATTGTATATTTTATTATCTTTTATTTTGTGGTTCTGTGATATTGACGATTTATGTAATTTTAGTAAATTTTAATTGATATTGTTTTTTTTTTTTACTTTTTGCAAGATTTGTCCATAAAATTGTACCATTTTCAGTGATAATAAAGCATATTTCTATTTTTTTAATTATTTCTGTAATTAGGTCTACTATCACATTAAAGTTCTGAGTTTTGAATGGCTACAGTCATTATATTCTCTGGTGTTGTATCTCCTAGCCTTGTTACCATATCTTGTTGTTTATTGTAAAACACGTTGCAATGGAATATGCAATGTATGGAATGCGAAATGCGTCAAGGTGCACTTCGCATTCCATGCATAAATCGACTTCAGTTGTTCTTATGTGATATGTATAAGACCTAAATGAGCCATGTTCGGTCAGGAATTGTGTAAAAAAGTAATTTGTTCTTTTAAATCTACATTTATAGCACTCTTTCACATCTGGAATTAGTGTCTGTATCCATTTATTCTCTTACCTCGACTTTCACCCATAACAGGTGGCCATTATGAATGTCATATAAGATCTTACATTCTTTCGGCTGGGAGGTGAATGGGGAGCAGGGAGCTGTAGGGCTATTTTAGTTCTATTTTTTTAATCTTAACACGTCAAACCTTACAGGTGCCCCTTATAGGAGAGTTGACTGTACCACCTGGAGATACAATTTCCTTTTATAGATACTCAGGCCCGCCTATATTTGGCATAATCTTTGTCATTGCAGCGGTTCTCTGTTCAGCCTTTAGAACCACATTTATCAAGTGTTTTGTGTAATCAAACCTGAATCAAGGTGTATCTGTATATCAGATTTGGTCTCTGTCTTGGTCCCTTTAGTACTACATCTGTTTTGCTACTTGACAACTCTAGGTCATTCTCTATCATCCACCTGTTGACTTTTCTGCAACAAATTGTCACTTTATTTTCAATACCTCCATTCACATTTGTCTCTATCAGGATTGCGAGGTCGTCTGCATATGCTATGGCGTATGTATCTTGATCATAGTCTATTTCTAATACTCTTTTGTACAGTATGTTCCGTAGAGTAGGTCCCAAAATGAACCCTTACGGCACTCCTGATGATAATTTCATATCTTCATTAAATGCCACATTTAAATACCTGTTTGTCTTTTACTGCCTGATTTATTGCCTCTGGCATTACTTTATCTGGACCTGGGGCTTTACCTGTCTTTTTACTTTCTGATACTTGAATTATCTCCTCAGTAGTAAACTATGCAGGTCGAATATTTTTGTCTATTCGTAGAAATGTGTTGTCAGGCTTCCTTAAGGTGTTGGAGGTGTTGTGGTGTTTGCTATTTCCATCTGGTTTAATAAGGTTCTTTCATTTAAATATTGAACCATTGAATTATGTTTCTACCATAAGGAATCTAGTTGTTATTCTGTTATGTTATTCTAAAGAAACAGAGTGGATAAAATTAAAAACTAAGATGTTGAGGAATATGGGTAAAGAGTATATGTCATGTTCAAACTCCAAAAGGGTTATACCATCGAGAAACATACAGGCTGCATGTACTGATAAATGAAGATTCAAATGTAGTGAGAAAGAATTTATGAGATTTAAGAGACGCTGAAAAAATGAATCTCGAGCGTGAATATCAAAAACATCAAGAAGAAAAAATATTGTCTAGAGCTGAAAAGGAAAGCGACAAAAAGAAGTGTAGCGAGAACTTTTTAGTTGCATGTTTTGATATGCAAGAGGTGTTCCAGATGGCAAAAGGTGACATCAATCTTCTATAATAGATCAAAACTAAATACAATGAACTTAATTATCACTGAATTGGTAGTGGATAATACATGGTGCTTTCTATGGCATGAAGGCCAAGGTGAAAAAGGAGTGACCGAAGTGGCTTCATGTCTTTTAATGTATCTAGAGCATAAGTCCAAAACAATCAATTCTCCAAATTTCAGGGTTGGACAAAAAAATGTTTTTTTTTAAAAAACAACAAAAAACATGTTTTTTTTATTTAAAAACAATGTTTTTTGTTTTAAAACAGTTTTTTTTCATCTAAAAAAACACTGTTTTAAAACAAAAAAAGACGTTTTAAAATAATTACGTACTTCACTGGATTTCTATAGGGGATTCCCATAAACCTCAACTGGCACACATATGGGCTTTGGATAAATGCCAGAGAAATACCTGCACCATAGCAGATGCAACAGACATTTGGAAGGACTTACTGGGTTATTTCCAAAGTGAAAGTGAAGCTCAATCTAACGGTTGTAGCAACGTGTTGGAACTTCATAAAGCAGAAGCACGTTTTCAACTGGCTATATCAGATGCGCATTATTTAGCTTATTTATTAGACCCTCAGTACTTAGGACTGAAACTCTCTGAGGTGGAAGTTGATAGAGCATTGTTATTTATTTCGGATTTTCACCCAAATGTAATGCCTGAAATACTGTCATTTCGTGCCTTAGCACCGCCATTTAATAAACAATATTTGTTTGCAAAAAATACAGTAGACAATTTAAGTTCTTTAACATGGTGGCTATCTCAAAAACAGTTTATTTCATCGGAGTTGTTGCAGCTGACAACTCAATTATTTTCAGCAGTTGCATCCAGTGCTGGAGTGGAGAGGCTATTTTCTTCATATGGTCTAGTTCACTCGAAATTGAGGAATAGGTTAGGAAGTGACAAAGCTGCTAAGCTAGTAACAATATTTCAACATTTAAATAAAAATGTTGAAGGTTACATTATTAACCGTAAAAGCTCTATATTTATAGTTTTTATTTTTTTAAGGAACATTCATTGTTATTTTTATTTTTTGTATCACATATCAGTTGCAGGATGTAGGACTGTTTAATAGATGCTGTTTTAATTCAATAATTATTTACTTAATTTCTTAATTTTCTTTTTCTTTTAACTTTATTAGGAGTATTGGTTTAGTTAATGTCACTACAGCACTGTCGTAACAGTACTAGTATGCTTGCTACCTGAACATAAATAAAGTTTGGTCAGTTACTTTTTTTGAGTTTTACTTTTTACTTAGCATTAATATTGTTATTGCCCCTACTTACTCTATAATCTATGTTTGCAATTTTGCAAATTAGCAAACATAAATGTCTTATAACAAATGTCAATAAATAAAATAATAATAAACGATAACGAAAAAAACTATGTTTTAAAACAATGTTTTAAAACAATGTTTTAAAACAATGTTTTAAAACGGTGCGGTGTTTTAAAATGCAACTGTTTTTTTTTTCAGTGTTTTTAAGCATGTTTTAAAACGTTGTTTTAAAAAGCTTGTTTTAAAACAGCCCAACCCTGCCAAATTTGGAAATAGTCTTGTATAGTGACAATTGTGCAACATAACAAAAAAATAGGTAATAATCAGACATTTAATTCAAGGGAATTCTCTCAATGTTTCTTCTTATTTATTTCAGATTTTTGAAAGCAACACTCATTTATGCAGTATAGACATTTTAGATTAGAAAAATTACACATAAGTTCCTTATAGTTGGCCACACCCAAAATGAGGGAGACTCGACACATTCCATTATTGAAAAACAGGTATGAAATGGATAATATCCATAGACAGATCAGTTATCAACTGAAAAATGTCATTTTTAGGTTACACGTTCTCTAAAATCAGGACCAATTTATGTACCAGACCTTTTTATTCAAATAATAAGAAATGCAAATAAAAAAGGGGATCCATACTGAGTCAAAGAGTTAACGTATGAATATTTCATGAACATCAAACAGTTGATGAATGACCTAGGACCAAATTTCAATATCGATACAGAAGGAGAACAGATACCTATTAATGATCTTAGAGTTGTTAGAGTGAAAAAGGATTAACCATTTAAGTATTTTTATAAAACTTCCTTCTCTCAGACAAATTTCAAGGTAGTTGATATTCTCAAAAGACTGCATGCTAATGCTAAGCGCATTCAAAATTCACTTAATTCACTAAGCACTAATCACTAAGCGCATTCAAAATTCGAACACAGTTGCCGACATTAAAAAAGCTTACAAATTAAAAAAAAGAGATGACATACAGTTTTTGGTAAAAAAAGGGTATATTCCTAAGTATTACCAAGTATTCTATGATTCATTATGTTATCATTATTTACTCTTTTTTAATTCTATTTGAAAATATATAAATTCACTTCCGGGTTCATCTATGCGTATTTTAAAAATGACAAAAATTGTTTTTGCTCTCCTGAAAAATTTTGTTATTTTGACTTATTACAGTTTTCTTAGGAACATGTGACATGTATAGAAACAAATCTGCAACACATACTCTATATGTATGTATGTATCAATGCAGTACAGACAAACAAATTAAACATTTTAAACAAAAAAATGATTCAGCAGTATGTTGAAAATGTGAATTCAGATAAACAAAGAAGAATTCATACAATAAAGTAAAATCCAACAAATACAAAATCTAAACTAAACAGAAAAGTAAGAAACATTACTATATTTTATCCCAACCACTGATTCACCAGGTAAGTAAAATCAATCATAAAAATGTTGAGAACAAATTATATAAATCTGATTAAAATGTTCAACTACAAACTACCAATTATCTTTTACCATTGCCAATGTTTCTGCTGCTGGGAATGTCATTATTATTATCATTGCCAGGAAAAGAAAAAATAATTATGGAATTAGAAGTAATAATTATTACGTACAGTCAGAAATTAATAAAAGGGTCAAATATGTTTTAATTATTTATTATAAAGTTTTCAGTTAAATAGATATCAAATCAATAACAATGCTTAATTGACAATACCACAATGGTGAATCATAATGCAGACCTGCATTGGAACTTAACATAGCTCTGTTAACATATAGGCTGTTGGAATAAAATATGGAAAAAGTTTCTTATTATTGTTTGATATTCATAGCTGGTAAGAATTAAATACTGTTAAAACAATAACCTGTGAAGAAGACACTATATGCCTCTTATCTGGAGACCAGTCTGAACACAAAACTTTTGCTTGATGTCCTTTTAATGTTCGTCTGGGTTTAATATTCATATAATTAATAATATCTAATCGTTCCGCAATTTGGGACACTGTAAGATAAAGAGAAATTGAATTGAAATAATAATGTATTAAAAACATTTTGACTTACATGTAACATCATTTAATTTTTGTCGTTCATCTTCTAATTTCTTTTTAAGGATCTCAGTTTCTTTAGTTAATGATTCAATTGTTTCTACATTGGCATCTTTTTGTTCATTTTCCATTTTTTTAATATTTCAAAACTTGGAAGAGATATTCAAAAATCAATATTTACCTTTGGTGACAGTATTTGACATTGATAATCAGTAAGTAGTCTGTCGACTCTGTCGTCTGTCCACAGAATATGGAGGAATATACTCACGATACACGCTTAAACATTTCCGGTATTCTTTTTCCAGATCGTATTTTGTTTTCGAGATATATTTAAATTTGGGAATTTTTTATTATTTTTCCACTTTTTTCAGGTTCTTTTTTAATTTAATTTCAGTATATAAAAGCCTTTACAATATTATCCAAATTTTATTTGGAAGTTAATCTTAACTGTTCAGAAACAATTTGCTATTTAGGAAATGAAAGTTTGTTTTTTTTCCTTAGTTCTTAATTTGCTATAACATTTCTCATTTGATTTAATAAAAAATATTGTAAATTCATTTTTTTGAATAATTATAACGACTTACATCCGAGTAGCTTAACACAATTAAAGAAAATATAACGAATACGCTCACGACTCGGAACTGAGTCTTTTCTTCTTTTCGCATAAAATATTACAAATTTATTTAAAATACCCTTTATTTAATATATACTTTATTTATTCATCACAATTAAAAAAAAAATACTAGTCAGCACAGCGGTTGATTTCCATGAAAATACGCTAAGCAGTGATAATGATTGCATGTACCTAAGTTAATATTTTTGTCTTTTGGTTGGTGTTATATTGGAAATTTCCCCTCTCAAGGCATTTGCAAGAAAATTGCACTTTCATGTAAAAAACGAGTTATTTATCTCGTACTTTTTTTAAGCAAGGCGCAATATTTAATTACTTAATATTAATATTAATATTAAAAAATAGTATTAAAAGCTTTAATAATATTACCAATATTAAAAACTTTAATATAATATACATTATAATATTAATATGAATGAGTAGAAACGATTACATTTAAATTTGGCAAATTGTAACTCCAGCCGACTATACGAACTTACAAGTACGATTGCGCGAATCAGTGGAATTTGGATGCCAAATTCTCGGTCTGTAGATCCTTCCTTGTTAAAAGGAGGACTTCGCAGATTGTGCCGTGACGTCACAATTTACAGATAGGAATATAGAGTGATGTCACCAATTATGTTGTATTGTAAATTTAAAGTGATGTAAAATGTAAATAAGTAAATATAATAAGATCGTCGCTATAATAAGGGAAGTTTTTTCACCTCCGATTAAGTATTTATCTGGCAGATGAAAAATATGTTACATTCCTTGCAGCAATATCTTTTAGAACTTTCATATTCTATTTAATTTGCATACATTTTATGCAAGTTTCTATTGTGCCGATTAGGACTTGATTGGGTCTGAAACACCTTATTACACTCAAGACAAAACACTCCCATTTTTCTTTTATTTTTGAAGAAACAAATCTACAATTAATACCAATGAATTGACCGTCAAAAAATAATTTTGGTGGTGACGTCACGTTAAGTTTAGAAACAGATTGGTGACGTCACGGCACGATCTGCAAAGTCCTCCTTTTAGGCGCTCCTTAAAATCATTGAGTTAGAATTAAAATCAAGAATATAATCATAGACAGCCTTATAAATTTTGCGAAACGAATTTTTTGTAATATTTTTGAGGTTTACCTCTAAAAATAATTCCTTCAAACTTGAGGATAATCCCTCCATTCGAAATTTCATTATCGGATTTTCGGTTTTTGAGTTAGAAGAAAAAAAAAATTAAGTTTTCAGTGGAGCGGTAAAATTATATATTAATTTTCTGGTAACAAAATCTGTAAATCGAATAAATAACCATATCATTTAATTTCTTCCCATTTGGAGATTATGAATAAAGTATTTTTAATTAAAACTAATGAAAATTGAAAATTTTCCGAAAAAAAAGGATTTTTACTTATGGGTCTATAAAATAAATATTACTACTACACTGGTGTACATCAGTGCGTATGTTATCTACTGTTACTGTCACCACAGAATAATAAACAATCAGAATGCCCACTCTCAGATGACAATTTAAAGTTTTTCAGTCGCACGCCATGTTTTAGAAGGAAACACATAACACAGACATATGATTTGTGAGGGTATGTAATTGTATATATTTATGTATAATTATATTATTATTTATGTTATTACATTATTTAACAATGTTAATATAATTGTATAGTATGTCTATGATTGCTGTAAGTCAATTAAACCGGGTTAATTTTGTCTATGCACACCATGCACACCACATAAACAACACTGGTTCCCTCTAAAACATGGCGGAACGTCTGCGCGAAGGAGATGCGCGTACTTAATTTTCCATGGAGATGGGCATTCTGCTTGTTTATTATTCTGTGACATAAACAACACTGGTTCCATCTAAAACATGGCGGAACGTCTGCGCGAACGAGATGCGCGTACTTAATTTTCCATGGAGATTCTGATTGTTTATTATTCTGTGCTGTCACGTCAAGTCAAACTTCAATCATAATATTATTTATTATCATTATTATCAGTTATAGTTATCCCTTCCTTTATCCATTAGCATTAATTGTTGGCTTTTTGTAAATTGTAAGTTTTAAGGCAGCCAGAAGAATTAAATAATGATAGAAGCAGTTAAAAATTTTATTAACTATTGGTACTTCAGATACCTTTTAGTTACCGAACTTTATATGGTTGAAAAATGGGAAAGAACCATGTTTCGTATCCTTTTAAAAATAATTTATACATTAAAGTAAGTTCTTATCAGTACCAAGAAAATATAAAAGTTTGATGCTTGTTAATGTAAAGGCCCGTCCTCACTTAATAACATGTTACCGAAATTTGTTGGCAACATGTTGCTAATAATATGTTGATAACTTTTGTGTTGAACGTCCTCATTGGGATTGCAAGCAGTAAATAACATTTTAATTTTTAATAGCCCAGTCCATTTGAACATGTCCGACAAAATGATGTACTTTTCGCGGCTGCCGCTTGTGTAGTTTTAGCGTGCAAGTTTTGAATTATTTCAATTTTGACAAAAGGTACAACCATAAACATATAATTAAATCAAATTTTGTAAGTTATTATCTTAATTCAAACCTTCAAGAGTGGGATGCGACTTGTTCTAAATTTTTAAAATCATCAAACTATTAAATGCAGATCACTTCACACCTAAATGTAATCAATTCCATCTCCTGAATGAGATTTGGGGCAGAGAACTACGAACGCATTTAGACAACTTCCCTCTAAAATGATCATATTATGCTTTTAATTTTTTTCTGCTGCACCTTTTTGTATGTCCATCGTTGACGCCATTTGGGTAAATGTATTACTCTTAATTTAACGATTTTTATAACCTTTGTCATCGTAATCCCACAACACACTATTGTTCTTAAATAAATAAATTCAATGCATAGTTGCTTCTTTTGAGCACTCGCATTTTTCCACAAAACTCAAAAAATATCAAAGAAAATCACACAAAATACGTCCTGTATTCACTTGCTTCTGGTCTTAATTGCAACTGAAGAATATATTCAAAAACATTAAGTAAGGATGCAGTACCAACATGGGGCACCAACATGTTGACAACATTTTTTTATCTTTACTGCTCACCAACAGGTAACAAGTAACTTGTTGCAATAACTCTACATGTCAATTTTTATTAGAATTTCGGTACCATGTTGAATAACATTGTTGATAACATGTTATGTTACTAAGTGACGATGTGCCCTAATGATAATGAACAGACTTAATTTTGAAGTTAATTGCAAAATTCGTTGGTGGACTTCTATCTAGTTAAAGATTAAATTGAATCTAATGTACTGAGTCTAAAAACATATTTTATGTTTTCCTGAAATGAGTATCTAATTCTTTAGCATCATTTTTATGATTTGGTGACATCATAAAAGGATGTCAAAACATTAGAACTTCGTTTAACCAACACCAGGTCTCTCTATTCTCATGCTTTTTTCCTAAGGTTTGTCCAAGTATTTCAAATGCAGTACCTATAATAATAATAGCCATATTTGTTTCTCCAATGTTTTGGTTTCATTTCACAACTTAGTTCAATGTCCACCATAAGCAACTTAATGAAATTGTTTTTATTTTGATTTACTGGTATTATTTTTGTCACAATTATATAAGATGGTTAAAAAAATCCTTACACCATGTTTTTCCTATTATTAGTGTGGTTATCCGTAAACTTTGTCATTGCTCTTATTATGATTAAATGATAGTAGTTACTAGTTACAACATTTTTTGTTTTTAATTTGTAATCTTTATGGGCTTTTTTTCTGTAATTTTATTATGATTTAAATTTTCTTACAATGATTTGAAAAATATTGTTCTGATTCCATTTTATTGTTATGTTATTAATTATTATTAATATGTTATTTACTTTCTATAATAGGAGTTAACTGCACTTTTAGTTGATAGTGGGTTTATTTTGACAATTTCAGTTCCACTTTAAATATCCCTAATAATCCCTCATTATTCTGTTACAATAATTATTAAGAAAACATGAAAATATATTCTCTTATTGTTGATATATTTCTACTCAAATAAAACGAATTTTTGTCTCGTCTGCTTTCCGTTTACTCCCGCTAAAACAGGTTGCGTATTTTAATATTCAACACACTTTGATATTATTTTACTGCCAATTCTCCCCTTTTCAATATAAAAAACTATCATTTTTACGACCACAACTGCTAACCGCCTCGCTAATTCATTACAAAAAACAAGTTTTTTATCTACCTATAACTGGGTCAACAATATCTACAGTAATACCCCGACTTACGCTACCTCGACTTACGCCAATTCGGAGTTACGCAATTTAATTTTCTCGTCTATTTGTTTTTTGTTTGAACGCCGCGCAGTGACGTCCAAGCGCCGGCGTTTGTTTCTGACTCCCTCCTCCCGCATTATTATTCATTCAGTTTACAACAGGCACAGACGTGTAGTGCGGAATCGGCGCGTAGGTACATAAGTTACAATTTTTTTTGTGCGTTGTGCGACGACCTGAGATATTTTCTATAAGTAACTATGGCATCCAAACGAAGTAGAACCGACTCTTTTGCTTTAAACAAGAAAAGAAAAAAATTGTCTTCCTCCATATTTCCTCCAGACGTTTATCGTTTCGTTCGTCACTCTCTTCAGAGGTTCTTATTCGATAGCTCCGTGAAGTTCGACTAGCTGTTTCGTGTTACAAGGCAATGACAAACGCTTCATCTAAAACTTTCGATCTTACTAGTCGTAGAGCCTTCTATAGTTCACTGTCTCTCAACCCATTGACGAAGGTATCTTTTTACCGTTTAAATGTTTGTTTATGGACTTTAAATAAAGTTTGAGAAGATCCTGATTTTTTTAGAAATGTATATAATAATAATAATGGTCTAGTAAATAGACATAATTTTCATTATTATGACACAGAAAATAAACATTTATTTCGTACTGTTGATCGCCAACACCGATGGAGTGTTAATGTTTGGTGCGGCATTACGGGCGAGTACGTTATCAGCCCGTATTTTTTTGACGGACATCTCAATAGGACAAATTTCCTAAATTTTTTAAAACAAGATTTTTGGACACTGCTTGAGAACCTTCCACTTAGTCTACGAACAAAAATGTGGCTCCAGTTGGACAGAACTCCTGCTCATTTCTCACGTAATGTTAGCAACTACCTTAACCGAAAATTTACAAACAGATGGATAGGTAGAGGTGGTTCATATAATTGGCCCCCTAGGTCACCAGGACTAACCAAGATGGATTTTTTTAAGTGGGGTTATATTAAAAATATTGTATATGCTACACCTCCTACTACTAGAGATCACATGAAATTAAGAATTACAAACGCGTTTGCTTCAATAACTCCTGCTATGTTAAATAATGTAAGTAAATCATTCGAATATATAATCGCTTGTTGTATTGTACAAGATGGCAAGCAATTTGAACATCTGTTACATACTTGAACATTTTTTAGTTATACTAAGTTTTGGATAATTTTGTATTATTTATGTTCATTATTCATTTTGTATTATTTTCTATTATTTATTTTATTAAAATTCTTTCTGTTTCGTTATGTATTTAATTGTTTTCAAAAAAAAGAGTGTGTGCTCGTAAGCACATACGAAGTTATAGGTACATCTTATTATTATTATCCAGATTTAGCCATACGGCTCACACTCCCTCTAAGGGCAAAATTCACTCATCCCAGATGCCTACGGTATCAAAAGGATTGATCTCTGGTTGGACTCCATGTTATCGAGTTGGAGTTCCATGTTATCGAGTCCTAGGTGACTTGGTACGTCGGAGTATCTCCTAAAAATTTTCTCACGCATCTGAACGTCGAAAGTAGCACAGCTTTCTGCATGGCCTTATATAGATGTTCATTTAGACCCAGCTTTTTTATGTTTTCTAGGAGGTTCTTCGGAATGACTCCAGTGGTAGAAAGAATAATAGGTATCGTCTGGGTACTTTCCGTTCTCCATTGTTTTTTTATTTGTATTTCCAGATCTCTGTACTTGGCGATCGTTTCGTTGTACTTAACACGCAGATTATTGTTGTTAAGTATCGCCACATCGATTAGAGTTGTTTGTCTTGTTAGTTTATTAACTAGAACGAGATCTGGTCTATTATGTGCTACAGTTTGGTCTGTGAGCACAGTACGATCCCAGTATAGCTTGTAGTTGTCATTATTATTATTATTATCATCATCCAGATTTAGCCATACGGCTCACACTCCCTCTAAGGGGAAAATTCACTCATCCCAGATAACTACGGTATCAAAAGGATTGTGCTCTGGTGGGACTCTTTCCGTATTATCGAGCCCTAGGTGACTTGGTATGCTGGAGTATCTCCCAAAAATTTTCGTACACATCGGGATGTTGAGAGTAGTACAGCTTTTTGCATGGTCTTGTAGAGATGTTCATTCAGACCTAGCTTTTTTATATTTTCTAGGAGGTTCTTTGGAATAACTCCAGTAGTAGAGATAATAATAGGTATTGTCTGGGTACTTTCCATTTTCCACTGTCTTCGTATTTGAATTTCCAAATCCCTGTACTTGGCGATTTTTTCGTTCTGTTTAACACGAAGATTATTGTTGTTGGGTATCGCCACATCAATTAATGTTGTTTGTCTCTTTAGTTTATTAACTAGTATGAGATCTGGTCTATTATGTGCCACTGTTTGGTCTGTGAGCACCGTGCGATCCCAGTATAGCTTGTAGTTGTCGTTCTCAAGTATACTCTCAGGAACATATTGATAATATGGAAGATGGTTTGTTTGAAGAAGTCCCAGTTTGATAGCTATCTCTTGATGAAGGATCTTTCCTACTGAGTCGTGCCTTTCCTTATATTCAGTTGCAGCAAATGCCTGACAGCCCCCGGTAAGATGTTGAATGGTTTCCTGAGCTTGGCATCCATATCGGCATTTGTCATTTTGGACCTGAGGGTCTTTGACGATATATTTCAGGTAATTTTTGGTTGGTATAACCTGATCCTGAATTGTCAGTAGTGAACCTTCTGTTTCGGGGAACATCCTTCCTGATGTCAGCCAATAGTTCGACGCTATACTGTCGACATGGTCTTGACTGACCTCATTGGGATGTCGCCCGTGCAGAGGCTTTCCCATCCAGGTGCGCATTTTTTCGTTCTTAGTAAGGTGGTTTATGCGCATTTCTGGTTCCCTCAGTTTGATCGGTGTTGTGTCATCTACTGCACAAATCGCGCGATGAAGAGTAGATGTCTCCGCCTGCACCTGAAAATAAGTTCTTAAATTAGTAATCTGTTTTTCTAATTGCTCGCTTATATCCATAAGTCCTCGACCTCCTAAATACCGCGGTAATGTCGTTCTTTCTACTGCACTTCGAGGATGGTGCTTTTGTGCCTTTGTGAGGTGTGTTTGTACTTTTCGCTGAAGATTTTCTATATCCGTTTTTGTCCACTTAACAATACCAAATGAGTAGCTAAGCGCGGAACATGCGTAGGTGTTTAGTGCCTTAAACAAATTTTTACTGTCAAGGTGTGAACGAAGCAGTTTTACCCTTCGTATAAACTCAGTTGTTATCTCAGTTTTCATTTGCTTATGGTCAATCTTCCGCGCTTGCTTGATTCCGAGGTATTTATACATATCATTTTCACCCATGGCCTCGATGTTCTGGCCTTTTTGCATATCGAATCCGCCGGGCTGAACCTTTCCTTTGATTATATTTAAGACACGGCACTTGTCAAGACCGAAGTGCATACTAATATCATTTGAGAAATTTTCAACAGTTTTTAGCATCTGGTCTAGGTGGTTTCGAGTGGAAGCCATTAATTTCAAATCATCCATATACAACAAATGATTAAGTTTAATTAAATGATAATAATATTATTATTATTATTATTATTATTATTATTATGAATTCAAGGAAATACATATATTTTACAGTTTTATTTTTATTTAAATATTAAACTTATTTTAATACTTAAAATAATACAAAAAATTAAACATAACGTTAATATTTACGTCATTTTTGAAAACTGTAACCTTTGCGCAGTTGCCTTTCACTTGATGAATCGTAGAACATCCAAAAAACAGATTTTCAACAATTTTTTTTATTTTTTTTTCATCATATTTTAATACTACTTATCCTATTCCCAACGAATACAAATCCAAAGACATAAAAATTTTAATTTTTTTACAAAAAATGTATTCACAACTACACTGGTTTCGTTTATAATAATATGTCAATATGATGGGTTTAAAAATCGAAAGTAACAATAATTATAAATACTTGAAATCAATTTTCGTTTAATAAAATTTTAAATTACGGCAAAACTATCATTATTAGAATTATTATCAATAGCTGCTAAAAAATACAAAATATCTTACAAAGTTCAACTAGAAATAAAACATTTTTTAACTCACCAAATAAAATTAGTTATATATAGATATATATATATATATATATATATATATATATATATATATATATATATATATATATATAATATGAATTTAATGTTTTTCTTTGACATCTGCGTATATGGTTGAAAAAATTAAAAAATTTAATATTTGTTGAAACACCTTGAGGTTATTTTAATTTATAGGTCTTCCTTCCTTAACTTCACTTAGATATTGTAATGCTGGCTATTTTGTCCGTCCTTTGTTTATTCAATGTTACAGTGATTCTAGGATTGGTTAAAATCGTTACCAACACAGGACCTTATGGAGATTTATTAAAAGTAGAAGATAATTTAATACTAAAAGCAGTACCAAATGTATAACATATATTTTGATTATTTACATAATTTGACACCATGCTATAATAAAAATATTTAGGGACATGTTAAAACTAAAGTTTTATTTGTACCTATAGTTTTACCTTATTTACATTACTAGATATATATTTAAATGCTAATACAAAGACCTATGGCATAATAAACTTAACTAAAAAAGAAATATTTTATTTTTAGGCTATAGTGAAAGTATCATGAGTTAAAGGTAAACATAGATACATTTTTTCAAGCATTTGGCCAAAAAAGAAATATTTTCCCAGAAACTTACAATACATTAAAATTGTAAAACAACGTATATAACAACATACATAAAATGTATGTATTGTTGCGGAAAACAACAATTTGGCCCTACTCCGTAGACAACCGCAGTAACTTCCTATCAAATTAAAAATAACTACGTTATAACTAACGCTATCATTTGCCAGATGGCACCAGTTTGTCTTTCATTATTGTCAAAAAAATTATTCGCAGTTTTTCTGTTACAAAAAAACTAACTTCTTTGTTGCAACATCTGCAATCACTCCGGTGTAATTAATGTAAAATCTGTGTTTCATTAGCAGTGGCTTCTTAAATTCATAGCTTCCACGTTTTATTCATCGATATAACTTGTGTGTGATCACCAATATCCCGGAAATTGTGCAAATTTTGTGCATTTAAATCAAATCAAAATCCAGTGCGGTGTGATCACATAATTAATAATCCATGGTAATTTTCATCATCGGGATAGAAAAACTGTGAAAAAATATAAAAACCACACCAAATCTTACGTTATACGAAAAACCAATAACAGTATAATCCGTTCACAAATTGTTGAGAGCACGAAAGGTGCCTCAAAGTCATAAAACGGTCGTAAAATTTGTATCATCATAGGCGTTCCTGAGGTGTTTATTCATTAAAATTAATGCGTTTTACATTTATTTTCGTTTCCAAAATGTTTATCAATATTATTAATGTTTTAATACTAATATATGTAGCAAAAAACAATTAAAAATTTCACGGCTAATGTTAGTTATTATATTATATTAATAAAAATAAGAATTTAACCATTAACAATTTTGTAAATAAGAATACCTTATCTCTTTGGATATTTCAATTTTAATCTTCGCGTTTAATCACTTTACTAGAAAACCTGGAATTCATATCCGAAGGTACTATTCGTTGCAAGATAATTAACACAATTGTTATTGTTCGGAACACACTGTAACTGTAATCGAACGAAGGTGATATTTTGGCATAAATTATATATATAATGGCTATACACCCCAACGTGGGGTTAAACCGCAAATGCTTTCTAGATCCTATTTCTTAAGTGGATCAGTCTTTTTTTTTTGTTTATCTTATCTTCTTGACAATATCTCTCCATTTTTTCCTGTCTCTAGTTCTTCCTCTCCATTCACTGACTCCTGCCCTTTGGAGGTCTTCTTCAACTTCTTGCAGCCACTTTGATCTCGGTCTTCTCCTTCTCTTTCTTCCTCCTGGATTCCATTCTATCATTGCGTATGTCACTGCCTCATCGCCTGCTCGCCAGATGTGACCTAACCATCTAACTCTGCATTGCTTTATTTTAGTTACAATGTCTTCCTTAAGTTCTTCCTTAATTTCTGCATTTGTTCTGCTTCTATATTCATTTTGCTCTGTTCTGATTGGTCCTAGTATGGTTCTCATAATCTTTCTCTCTGCAATTCTTAAGTCTTCTTCATCTTTTTTAACCATCGTCATTGTTTCCCCTGCATATAATAATATTGGTCTAATTATGGTGTTATAAATGCTCATCTTGCTTTTTTTAGTCAGTGTTTTGCTTTTAAGTAATCTTTTGTTTGCAAAATAAGCTTTATTCGCTGCTAATATTTTTTCTTTTATTTCGGATTTCCTTTCTCCGGATTTACTTATTGTAACTCCTAGGTATTTGAAGTATTCTACTTCTTCAAACTCGGAACTCCCTATTTTGATTTTTTCCTTTATTGGTTTTTTCCCTAATCTTAATATTTTTGTCTTTTCTTGATTTAATCTTAGCCCCATTACCTCCCCCTTCTCTCTTATTTCTTCAAGCATTTCTTTCATTATTTTTCTGTTCTTTGCAATAATAGCAATATCATCTGCATATGCAATTATTTGACCGCCTCTTGTTCTAAGATTTCCTTTATTTATATTTCGCAGTACATATTCTAATGCTAGATTAAATAGCGTCGTTGATAAGGCATCTCCTTGTTTCATCCCTTTATTTATACTGAATTCCTCTGTCTCTCCTCTTTGTGTCTTTATGCTTATTTTTGTAGTTCTCATTGTCATTTCTATTAATTTTCTGAGTTTATGTGGAATTTTTAATTTTTTAAGTGCTGTCATTAATACGTTCCTTTTAATTGAATCAAATGCCTGTTTGAAGTCTATGAATAACATTTCCAATTCTAATTTATACTCGTTTGCTTTTTCCATTATTTGTTTTATTGTGTGTATTGCATCTATTGTAGATCTTCCTTCTGTGAATCCACATTGGTACTGTCCTACTGTCTTCTTTGTGATCTTTGATAACCTCTTTTTTATTATTGATGTCAATATTTTATATGTTGTATTTAGTAATGTTATTCCTCTATAATTTTCACAGATTTGTTGGTCTCCCTTTTTATGTACTGTTATGATCTGTCCTACCTCCCAGTCACCTGGCATTTTCTCTTCTTTCCATATATTTTTCAATAGTGCCAGTATTTTTCCTCTTAGTTCCCTTCCCCCGTATTTTATTAGTTCCATATTAATTCCATCTTTACCTGGGGCTTTTCCATTTTTGCTTCTCTGTATTACTTCATCCAATTCCTCTAATGTTGGTTCTTTTGAAATTTCGATGTCTACTTCATTTGCTTCTTCTTCGTGTACTGTTTCCTCCTCGTCATGCATTTCTTCTTCTGTTGTTTCCTCCGTCAAGAGCTCTCTGTAGTAATCTCTCCATACTTGCTTGTATTCTTGGTCCTCTATTATTACTATTCCCTCTCTATTTTTTATTCCGTTTGTTTTGCCCTTGTATTTTTTGTTTTGTTCTTTAATCTTTTTGTAAAAACTTTTCGTATTTCTGTTTGCTCTTTCCTGCTCTATTTCCTGCATTTTTTTGTCTACCCATCTTCTTTTATTTTGCCTTATCACCTTCTTAGCATACCTTCTTAATTTTTCATATTCTTCTCTGTCTTCCTCTTTATCTGTTCTTAGCCATTTATTTCTGGCTTGCACTTTTTTTTCTGTTATTTCTCTACATTCTTGGTTATACCATTCGTTTCTTGTTTTAGCCTGACTTTTACCTATTTGCATATTTGCACCTTCTTCTATTGATTTTTTGATCGTCTCCCATTCTGTGCTTATATCTTCTACTTTATATTTCTCTTTTATTTGAACTGTTACTGCCTCTTCATATTTTTTTCTTACTTCTTCATTACTCAATTTATTGACATTCCACTTTTTATGTTGGTTTTTTTGTTTTGTTTCAATTTTAACTTTTTGTCTTAAAATGGCTGTGACCATGTAGTGGTCTGAATCTGCACACGCACCTCTGAACGTTCTTACATCTTTTATTGACGATTGTTTTCGTTTATTAATCATTATGTGATCAATTTGACTATATGTTTTCTGATCCGGTGACCTCCATGTTACCTTATGTATTTTAGGGTGTTCAAATTTTGTCGAGCTTATTAACAAATTTGTTCTTGTTGCTAGGTTACATAGTCTTTGCCCATTGTCATTCGTGTTTTCGTGTATTGTATGCTTTCCTGCAATTTGCTGTAAAAAGTCCTCTTTTCCAATTTGGGCGTTGAGGTCTCCCAGTACAAATATGACATCTTCTTTGGGTATTTTTTCTATCTCCTCTTCGACCTTATCATAAAAGATTTCTTTTTCGTCTGCATTGCTTGTTTCTGTGGGGGCGTATAAATTCAAGACTGATATATTAAATGGTTTGCTGTTGACTCTAACATAGGCCATCCTTTCGCATATTGGCTTGAAACTTATAATTTTCTCTCTTAGGTGACTAAGTATCATGAATCCCACGCCTTTTTGTCCTTGCTTCTTTCCTGTATTCCTGTATGTCCTTGCTTCTGTATCATCATAGGCGTTCCTGAGGTGTTTATTCATTAAAATTAATGCGTTTTACATTTATTTTCGTTTCCAAAATGTTTATCAATATTATTAATGTTTTAATACTAATATATGTAGCAAAAAACAATTAAAAATTTCACGGCTAATGTTAGTTATTATATTATATTAATAAAAATAAGAATTTAACCATTAACAATTTTGTAAATAAGAATACCTTATCTCTTTGGATATTTCAATTTTAATCTTCGCGTTTAATCACTTTACTAGAAAACCTGGAATTCATATCCGAAGGTACTATTCGTTGCAAGATAATTAACACAATTGTTATTGTTCGGAACACACTGTAACTGTAATCGAACGAAGGTGATATTTTGGCATAAATTGGTAACACTTATTTGACAGTTCCGGTGTTGACACTTTTTGTAATTTATTATTTTGAATTTTAAAGTGAATATCTCTTGTTTTATATTTTTACCTATTTAATAAAATCTGTTCTTTTTAGAACAAAATTAGTGCGTTTTATTTAAAAAATGTCACGTAAGAATTTAAATAGTCGTTGTAAAGAAATGGTAATACTTTTGCAATAATTATGTGACCTATTTGATTTAAAATTAAGTCAGGATTTTTTTTATACTTTGGCAACTATGTCAACTTCGATCTCTGTTAATGATAATGACGTGCAACGGTAAGTAAATTAGACGAAGTGTATACGTAATGAGCAGCGTATTTTATTTAAAAAATAAGTGAACAAAATAAAATATTTGTCGAAAACTAATTATTTTCAATTGAATTAAACATATTTGCGGCCACTTTTTAATTGGCATCCCATTATCAATGTATGGAGGTTTGTCAACTTGATAATATATTGGTTATTACTAAAATATATATCAATAAATTCACATTTTTTCACAAATTTAGATAGAGACATGGCCGTACCATAATAGATTTCTTCTAAATAATACTGAAATTTTAAAATCTAACTGGGAAGCATATCCTCCAATATTTCGTTATTTTGTTTTAAAAGTAGCTCACTGGACGCTTCATCGTTACTCTAAAATAAAAAATAAATAGTAAAGAAAATACCTAATGGCTTAAAAATCTATACATTATCATTAATGAACGCATATGCATAATTATTTATATCACACACTGAATATTCAAATATTCCTAATATTTCCATTATTCTTTCAAATTTGGCACTGAAAACAATTTTTCGTAAGAAAAAACGATAAAAATTCTTTATATTAAACTGACCTACATAAGTGCCTTTAAGAAATCGTCAAGAGGAATCTTTCAGAAAATTTAAGTGACTTTTGTTGTAATTGGTATGCACTTAATTTGCTACCACGCTTAAAGATGAGTTGCACGCTATTATACCAGATTTAGCGAAAAATACAACTTTTTTAAAACATTGATTTGCGTGGTCTGTTTAAATTTTTGGTGCCCTGGAGAGCATTTTTTATTGTGTAAAAAAGTATGTAAAGAAAAAGCACGACAGGGCGGCGTGCGAAGCGTCGGCGTTGAACGCGGTCTCTCATCTATGGTACTTATGTTATGTAACACAGAGAAGCCGTCGTTTGTCAGCTCGCCGCGCGGCCTATGCTAGGTACCATGCGCCTTCGGCGGTTTTATGTCTTCTGGCGGCACATCAGTAATATATATCTCGTGCTTCAACACAGAAGTGTGACTGTTTTGCGACGGTTTTATTTGAATATTTTTGTGGGTATGTGATGTCCTCTCGTAGGAGTCACTAAAGTAAATGGATTATCTCGTGGCGTGTACGTCATCGTGCGCCAACGGCCGATATTCGTCTGAGGGTCGTGGTTACTAACGGATCTAAAAGCATTGCTCAAATTTTCTATCAACCGAAGCAAACGGATCGCTTCTACACAACGTTTAATAATTAGTCTAGTAAAAATAGTGTGTAGTTAGGTACTAAGTGTCTAGTAAAGTTAGTGTGTAACTTAGGTATTAAATATAAAAACTTTTTTGAATTAACAGTTTATTGAAGAGTTTAACAATTTTCTATTTGCGGTAAATATATTTTTATTTACATTGTTATTTGTACAAAGTTATTTATAACGAATGAGTAATATCTAATAAAAGTTTTCTACTCAGTGTTATAATAACCGATTCACTGTTGTTGATTTGTTTTTTCAGGAGACGTATTTGTTGAACTAACATATTTTATGTGCTGCCTTTGGTAACTTAACGCAAAGTCTAATTTTTTTCTTAATTACAGATTTATGTTAGGAGAACTTATTATCAGTATTTATTTTCAAGAATATCAGTGAATACAGCTAATCGAAACATTAATCGTAATATACAAAATTAAACTCAAGTTGCATTACTAGAACAAGCTAGTTTAAAACGTTTTTTCTAAATCACTTAGTGTTAACTAGCATAGCAATTATTTGTTACGTTATTAATTTGAGCATGTTATCACTGCTAAAATATATGTGTTATAATGAAGAAAAAATGTTACCATAACACAAACATATGAGTCTATAGCTATAGATAAAATATACTGTGGTCAAATACAACAATAAAAACACTTATATAAACACACTTGCTTCATGCCACAAACAACCATTTGTTACAGAACTGCATAATACTTGTTGTTGTAACACTTTTTTTATTTTGCAGAACACACATTATGAGGAACGCGAAGCGAGTTGTCCATAGTCAAGGCCGTGAAATCATTTTCAACGTTTACCAGTTCATGAAAGCAGAAATAGAACAAGGAACACCCACAATCCCACTAAGCAGTCTACAAGAAAGAGTAGCGGCAGCTTGTGGTGTTGGACTTAGGACAGTACAACGAATAATACAGGAAGCTGACAACAAACCTGTTGGTAGTAGGTTTACATCACCAAGGAAGCATATAAACAAACCGTCAACCTCAAAAGGTACAATAGATGAGTACGAAGAGGAAATTGTTCGAAGAATAATTTATTCATTTACCGCCGTACATAAAAGGAGACCTACGATGAAAGCTGTATTTCAAGCCGTTAAAAATGAAGAAGGTACTATCAATTTTACGGGAAAAATTGATTCTTTTCGTAGGCTAGTAAAAAAATTAGGATTCCGTTGGCGAAGAACTGAAGACAACAGGAAAATGTTGATGGAAACGCATGACATAAAGCTAAAAAGAATTCAGTATTTAAGAAACATTCAAAAGTATAGAGAAGAAGGCCGAGAAATTATATACTGTGACGAGACTTATATACACAGTTCCCACACGGTACCTAAAGCATGGGACGATGGCAAAAATAAATGCCTAAAATCGCCAGCATCAAAAGGAAAACGTCTAATTATTGTACATGCTGGAGGTGCATCTGGTTTTGTACCTGGGGCATTAAATATATTTAAATCTGGTTGTAAAACAGGGGACTACCATGACGATATGAACGGCAAAAATTTTACAAAATGGTTGCAAGAAAAATTTATGCCAACCGCCCCAAGAAAATGTGTCTTGGTGTTAGATAACGCCTCTTACCACAATATAACGGTGGAGCCGAATCCAAATACTTCATGGAAGAAAGCCTCTATGCAACAATGGCTAATGGAAAGAGATATTTTATACGAGGCTAAAGCAACGAAGCCTGAATTATATGCTTTAATAAAAAGGCACAAGCCAGTTCACAAACAATATGTTGTGGATAGGATCTTAGCTGCAAAAGAGATAGTAGCATTACGTCTGCCACCCTATCACCCAGAGTTAAATCCCATAGAGAAAATATGGGCATTAGTTAAAAATGAAATTGCTGCTTGCAACACAACTTTTAAGTTGGATGATGTCTGGAAATTAGCGGAAGAAAAGTTTCAGAACGTTACCGTGGACCAATGGCAAAATATCTGTAATCATGTTAAAAAAATTGAGCAAAAGTATCTGGAGAGACATCATGTGGTCGATCAAGTTGAAGATTTGATAATAACAATTAGAGAAGACGAAAGTGATACTAGCTCTGGTGACAATTCTTCAGATGAAAAAAATGACAGCGATTTGGGTTGTCAACCATTATTGTAAAAATAATACATATTTTAACACAAATTTTTAAAAATTGTATTTTCTTAAAACTATATTTAAATGTTATACAAAAGAATATTTTTTCCATAAAATATGCAAGTTACATCCAAATACGTTTTACATTAATTAATTACGATAATTGCAATCAAATTTTTTCTACAACAATATTAATATTTTTCTCAAAAACATATAAATAAGTTTGTTCCCAATTCAATTAGAAATTCCACTGTACTACGTTTAAACCCATGTTTTTACAATTCACTTATACAGCTCCTGTCGGACTTTGCTCTGCGCGCAAATATGACGTAGACGCCACGAGATAATCAATTTGCTATATCCGGGTAGCTTTTAGACAGTCAGAGACAGAGTTCAAAACAAAAATAAAACTTTATTGTCTTCCTTAAATTAAATTGACAAAAATCTTATGTACATATTTACAATTTGGTTTAGTCTTCTCAGTACCTGGCCTATTTATTCAAATTAAGTTTGACCTTGTCATATGAAATTAGTTTTATCGACAATTGAATGTGTATTTCAAATTTTACGGGAACGTTGTATCGATTTAATAACAGCGGACGATAGGTACAAAGAAAGGAAAGGAACTCAACACGTCCCTTAAGTGATTCGGGTTAACAGGACACTCCTCGACAGTCTCAACACGACTGCTTCAGAGTATGGGTAGTGAAGAGATCAACACGCTCTTCGGGTAACGGCGGTATGGGACGGAACAACTTGTGAACTCAACACGTCCACAAGCCGGGGTAGGGAAGAAGAGAACCTTCAGTCAACACCTGTCGATTCTCCTCTATGAGGAAAAGTTGCGGTTTATATAGCGGAGCTTGGTAATTAGTTTTGCCCTTTCTACTGTCGATATACTCCTACTTCATGGGTTGGTTCGCGCGCACGCTGGTTTAACGGTGATGGCTTGGACTCATCGTTACAAGTATTTGCCAAATTTTGTATATATTATGGAAGCTATAGACATCGATAAATTAATTACCGAAATTCATACAAGGCTAGCAATTTGGGATATGCGCTCAAACGAATATTCGAATAAAATAAGAAAAAACATGCTTGGAAAGAGGTTACCCACATTTTTATTTAGGAAGATGCTTTTCTGGACCATCTTTAATTTCGTAACTAAGATGTAAAACATTCCTTTATTTTTTCATCTATTTACTATAGGGTGTATCCAATACCTGCGTTTCTTCTTCTTTGATTTAATATGAAGTAAACTTGCACTTATTAGAAAAAACAAATTGTCGTCACTTTCACTATTCTCTGTCCACAAATTGTTGATAGCACGAAATATGCCTCAAAATCATCAAACGGTCGTAAAATTTGTATCATCATAGGCGTTCCTGAGGTGTATATTCATTAAAATTAATATTAATAACGTTTTAATACTAATATATTTAGCAAAAAACAATTAAAACTTTCACGGCTAATGTTGGTTATTATATTATATTAATAAAAATAATAATTTAACCATTAACAATTTTGTAAATAAGAATACCTTATCTTTTTGGATATTTCAATACTAATCTTCGCGTTTAATCACTTTACTAGAAAACCTGGTATTTATATCCGAAGGTACTATCGGTTGCAAGATAATTAGGATGGAATTCCCTAGATTTTTAATAATATAATGGGTATAGATGCCGGATTTGGCCACGTACCTCGTCTGTTTAGTTTATATTCGAAACTTAACTTAAAAGGGTGAAGTTATTACGAACGAAAACAATTTGTTTGTTTAGTACATTTTTGATCGCATGTAATTTACGGCTCGTCGGTGTTTCCGCTTCTACGGCAGTAATTAGCGTCTCGAATATTTTTTTTGCGAATTATATGCAGTGCGTGAGTGATTTTTTATTCCATATACCTACGAACATATACGTACCTTTCGCTCGTGCTCGTTTTGTTGGATTGTTTGTGATGGCTTCATCATCAACATCATCAAGTTTTACACCGGTACTGTTGCGTACAGTCAGTAAGTCTGTCTATTTACCAAGAGAGAAGAC